TCTAACTACCTGTTCTGTCTGGGTGCACAGACCAGGCACCGCTCTGTGGCAGTGCTTGGGAACTACACTTTCACCAGTAGCTTGGCATCAGGAGAAAGCCGGTTGTCACTCTCCCCTGACTGAATGCAGAAGTTGCATCACCTCATTCTCATTCCTTCCCTTCCCCCATCTTTTCTTCCCTACAGTTTGAATGGGAAGATAGTGAGTTGGCCAAACAGAGCTCCCGTTGTGCAATCTGGTGGCATATAATCAGGAATAATATTCCTTCTATCACAGCATAAAATTCTTGCATTGTTAAGGGCTTCTGACCACCTTACCTGGGCCAGATTTTGTCAAGAGAAATAGCTCTCCCTGCCTGAATTGGGATAGCTTCCTTAATCCTAAGATTTTCTCACAACTTCTAATAACCTTTAAAGAGATTTAGGTCCATCTGCCCATCTCACTACCTGGAAGGCTTCCTGCCCCCTGGAAAGGGAAGGAGGCATTCCCTTTCTTTCTAGCTAGGATCTTTTTCCATGCATCCCTTCCTGTGATACCAGGACAGCACACTATACTCCCCTTGTCCTACCTCTTCCCCCCTCGTTATTCTCAATTGGTTAGTTGGTTCTCCTTTCCTGCCTTCTGCTGAACTCTTACTATCTTCCACAGTGCAGTACCCTGCTTGTTTTTTTTTCTCCTTGTTTCTTGCTACAGAATATCCTTTCTGGACTGTGGTTGGTAACATTTTGCAACTTCAGGAGAGACTGCCCTCCCCAAATTGCTGGGACTCTATGTTGATAGGGAAATGTTGTACACATAGTTTCTATGCATGACTGCAGTATTAACCCTTCATGCGTGTTGCCTTTTGAGCAAGCATGGTATTGGCACTTCATGATGTTTCTGTTCTTTGGCCAGTGCATTTAACACTCCACATTGTTCTTGTCTCCAATCACACAATTACTGGATGTTTTACAAAAGGCAGTGGGCTCTGTGAAAGTAGGGACTTTTGTTCCTGTGATGCTCCATATTTAATTGTCAAGCAAATGAATGAAACCAAGACAGCAAGAGCAATTGGCTAACAGATTTCAAGCATTGAAAAATAAGTATTTGGTGAATGGCACAGATCAAACTACAAGGCTTTGCTTACTGTGTAAACAAAGAATTGAATCCTATAAGCAGCAAAGGAACCATTCAATCCCACCATTAATTTATGTAATTTAGAGAGGTATACTTTGTATCATGCAAAAAAAGTGTGCAGCTTGGTGAGATTTTGCATTTGTATATACCTCTGCAATCACAGGGTAGATCCAGAAAATATTTCTAGGACACCAGACAGGTGGGGGGAGCCTTTATCCTTTATCTTAATTCACAAAATTTTGGATGCCAGGTCCCATGGTTGGTCTGTGTTATAACTAAGATTAGAATTATTATACCTGTTCTTGGGATTAGCAAGTCTTTATACTTGAATAAAAACACTGGCTTATAGCATGTAACCATGTGACTAAAGTAATGCAGTGATTATTAGGGTTAACGTTTTTTAATCATCACCATGTCTTGGCACTATGTACATTACTTCATTTTATCTGTTCCACCAGGTTTTGTTACAATCCTATTTTACAGATGCTACATGTTAGAAAGGTAAAGTCATTTGCCTCAGGTTCCACAGCTTGCAAGTAGAGTTAGAATTCAGTCCAGAACTGTTCATCACCAGAACCTAATTTCTTTAAATTTTTTTTTATCCTTACCCTAGGACATTTATTTCTTTATGTTTAAGAGATAGAGGAAGGGAGGGAGGAGAGGGAGAGAGACATCAGGCATCATTATGCAAGAGAAACATTGGGTTGTTGCCTTCTTGTTCATATCCCAACCAGGGATTGAACCTGCAACCTGGCTGCATGCCCTGACCGGGAATTGAACCTGACCTTTTGGTCCACGGGATGATGCTCCAACCAACTGAGTCACACCAGCCAGGGTGAGGCTGATTTGTTGGTGATCAAATATCTGGTACCCAAGTTTAAGCAACAGAAATGCTATGTCTCTGTGGTAGGAGGTAACAATTATACTTGTTAGCTGCACACGATGAGTGCTCCTTTCAGGCATATTCTGACCTCCGCCTTATTAGACCTGTGAGAGGGAAAGGGGGGTCTTTGCTTCTGTGACTGTCAGGCCCGAGTGATGTTGTTACTGAACTCAAGGGATTCACCGCTTGGGGTGTTCTATTCAAGAGCGAGATGTAGCTGTCTGTCATGAGGCAGCTTTATTGACTTGCAGCAAGTAAAAGAAACGGGATTTATAGCCACAGCTCTGTCTTGCCCAGTCCTATCTAACAGTGTTCCTTAGGGACAGATCTCTGAGGGAGGAAGATGCTTTCATAAAGGTGACTCTTTAAAATCTAGAGATGAGGGGGGACCACAAGCCCTTGGAATTTATGAAAAGTTGTGTATCATTCTCACGTGTCTAAACTTCAGCCACCTTCAAATACTCTTTATGTGATGCAATACACTTATCAAGATTTTTTATCCATTGCTCAAAACAGTTTTTGAACTTGTTGATGTTGATGTCTTTTAGCACTCCTGTCGTGTTTTTGTTTCACCTCTTTCACATAGGCAAAGGTTTCCCTTTGAGGACTTTTTTCATCTGGGGAAACAAATGTTGCTCGGAGTAAGATTGGGTGAAGAGGAAGGGTGGGGTACAGGGGTCATGCCATCTGTTGGTCAAAAACTGCTTGAACACTCAGCGTGGAGTGGGCAGGTGTGCTCATAAATCACCCATCATAGGATGGCCAAAAGTGTGGAAACAGTCTTCAAAAAAAATTCACTGAAGCCGAGGGCAGCCTCTCACAACAATGCCAGCTTGTACACTGATACAGATGGGTTCCTAGAACACTCACCCACTGGGGGAAGTGGTACAGGGGACCCGCCCTCTAGAAGATAATTCCAGTTTTGTTGGGTACCCCCTCATATAGTAAGATTATAGGATCTGCAGACAAATTATGAAAACAGGACACAATGAAGATGAAATGTGGACCTAAATCCAGAAATTCCAACAATTAATTTGTCTTAAAAATTAATGTAAGTGGAATAAATGCTTGCTGGTGTTAGTTAGAAATGTTGCAAAATTCTTGCAACATTAAGATTCTGTTTCAGGAACTAAGACAACCAAAGAAAACATGAGACTTCCACAGCCACTACCTTTATTTTAATGGCCCTCACAGTTGCTTAAACCATCAGTCTTCTAGAAGTGTTAATTTTTTAAGTTTGGTCTCACAAAACGAAAAGAAGCTGTCACACTGAAGGACTTGTAGCTATTATGCATGGCCTGGACATTTGAAAAATATATTTAATATTTGTCCATTATGTTTTCAAAGTGGGAGGGACAGTGGGGCACATTTTAGCCCATTTGTGCATCAGTCGGGATCACTCGATGGAATTCAGGTTTTATGAAATGAAAGCATGGCGAGGGGTGTCAGGTTGCTGTGGAGAAACATGTTTCAGGAAACCCATCTTAAAAAGAGGTAAACAGTGTGCTTTATCCAGCTAGTTTGGTGAAAGAGCAGTTTAAAATTGTTCAGAGCAGTTGGTACAAAGGACATTGTTGCCGGTTATATTTGCTTTTTGAAGAAGTGTGGGTACCAGGAAGTGAGTTTGTTCTGATACCTGTTTATTTTTAAATTGGGAAAGAGGTGGTGATGGAACTGTTCTCTACTAAAAGCTGCTCCTGTTGGTGGTAAATGTTTCTTTTACAGGCTTTGTTTAGTAAGTCTTGCATTTAAGTGAAACCATCAAAGGGGGAAATAGGATTATGGATATTGAATTCTGTGATTAAAGTTAACCCTAAAATATAAACGTGGCAAGTGCCCTTCAAAAATAAAATAAGTATATACAATCATAGCAGCAAGCAGATGGGCATTCTCTCCCCACCCGCCCCCACAAACCAGGAGTCTCCGTGCTGTCCCATGCAGAGTGCCTGCCTGTCTCTGAGCAGCTTTCTGGGGCTTCCGTGGTCACCATGCCCAGGGCCACCCTTTAAGAATGCAGTGTTCCTGGAGCTGAACAGGTCCTGACGAACACCTTTGGAAAACATTCAGCTGCTTTCCTCCAGGTCATTCCCTCAGGTTTTGTAAGGAGCCAGAGGAAAAGTAGGCTTTGAGGAAGTCGGTCAGGCAAGAAGAATGAAGGAGATAACTCAGAACAAAAAGCAGGGTGCTCTCAGTGAACTAACTGGTTAGTGCCCTCCTGTAAAAATGGGAACTGAGTTCTCTCTCAGACTCTGGTTCCTGCTGTTTCCTTTTAAAAACATTTTTAAAAATGTTATGAAATATAATACACAAACATTTAAGTGGTTCCCTAGGTAAGATTCTTCCCTTCTGACACTGTTACCTGAACTGTCCTTAGTGCTGGTGATGATTTGAGAGGATAACAATGGGAGGCTTTGCTAACAGAAGAGGGAAGTTGAAGTTAAGATAAAACAACAATAACAACAAAACTGTCAGTGAAAGAATACGTTTGAGATCGCTGTAAGTGAAAGAATTCTGAGGTCCTGTTCCTTAAGAGAATGTACGAGGCGGATGAAAGAGGACTAAGACAGGTGTGAGAACAGAAGAGGTGAGCCGCAGGAAGACGGGACGTGGAATCTTCCAGGCCTCTCGTCTCCATTTTTGTCAGACTACTTTGTTCGTAGGGCTGATGCTTACCGTCTGATTGCAGTGGACCTGAATTATAATTTACTGTGTCTTTCCTGGGATCTAGATTCTTAGGTGTTTATATCTGTGTTAATTATGAAGAAAGTTATAGCTCTTCTACAGTTGTCTTGCATATTTCAGATAGGAAAATTTGGAGAAAATTTCTCCACTTGGAAGCTGCTCTGAATTGACTTCATTGAATGGGGGAATTGAAACAGTAAAGATAGACCTTAATACACAATGAAAATATTTTGGTTCTGAATATGTAGGATTAGGTAAAGTTACACTGGTACTTGTGTATGCAGAGATACATTTTAAAATAAGGTAATTTTTCTTGCAGTCCTATTTTGTGACGGATTATGATCCAACCATCGAGGATTCCTACACAAAGCAGTGCGTGATAGATGACCGAGCAGCCCGGCTGGACAGTAAGTCATGTTTTTTTTATTTGATAGTGCACATGTCGTATTTTTAGAAACTAAGCTTTGATGTTTTTCTAGGTTAAATATAATTGATGATCTTGCGTATAAACCCATCTTTCATTAGTTTTGATTGATGAATCTGTATATTAGGGAATTTAAATATTCCTCAGTAAACGTAATGTAAAACAGTACCCAGATTTCATTTTGTTCTGGAGACTGGTCATGTGATGTTGTAACTTGAAATTTTTTTTTTTTTGACATTCGGAAAAAACGTGAGGTTTCAGCTCTTCTTACTGTTAAAAAATTTTTACTTCTGTGGCTGAAAGTCTTTTTAAAAGAAAACATTTATTAGATCATTGCTAGCAAAAAAAGACCGATCTTGGGGCATGGAGTCTAAACCTCCAGCGACAAGGTTAGGTAGAAAAGACAGCAGTCATCTGGAGTTTTGCAAGGGTTTTATTTATTACATGGAGAGGGTGGGTAGGGTGGAGAAAACTGTAATTCCTTCTGAAAAGGATTTAACTTATCTGTAGACAAAGGGGATGGGAGAAGATGGAGTGGGCTAGTTCTGGGATAAGCCCGGAAAGTCCAAGGAAGAAGGGCCAGCTCCTGGGGATTAGCGGTGGGGAGCAGGCTCGAAAGTTCTTGTGTAAATTAGAAGTGGAGGCTCCTGGGGTTCTGTGGTGCCCGGCTCTTCTCTCTTTGGGATAACTACAGGAATAGCCACCTGGAAATGAGTCCTAAATTCCAGCAGATACGGAGGAATGAGAGCAGTCTTTTGTCAGTCCTGGTCCACAGCTACTAACAGACTAACTGTTCTGTCTCTCTCACTGTGTCCACTGTAATTTTAATTTAGACCATCAAAGGATTTTTTTTTTTTGTTACTCCTTTTTGGTGATGCTTAAAATGGGTGAAGTGAATAAAGAAGAGCTTCAATATTTATTAACTTGCTTAGAATTTGTAGCACTGAAGCTTTAGCAAATAGTGCTTTTTGCCTGGCAAACATTTCGCCTCTCTCCCCAGAAGAAAGCCCTGTTCTTTTAACTTCTTTCAGAGATGAAGAAATACATTAGCACCTGCACTTTAAGCTTGGTATTTGGAAGGCAGAGCAAAGTTTCTTTTTGAGTTTATAGGTATCTTTTTCAGTTCTTTCCATGGAAGAGATAAACATTCAAATGATTTCACAGGTTCTCTGACTCCCATCTGCCTAGATGTAGTTGATATTTTTAACCTTATGATTGGTATGCTAATATATTCTAACTGCAAAATCAACCAGTACTGATGAGGATAATTCTGAAATGGCTGCCATTAGAATGTATTTGTCTTTAGTATGGAGAGTAAAGTACTAAGAGGGTCACACTGAGTGTGATGTGCGCTAAAGGACCCACATCAGCCGGGCCTGCCTTCACGGGCATGCCATTTGTAAAATGAAAACATGGACACAGTTACATGTGTCATTTTTTCTTCAGTTCTAGACACAGCGGGACAAGAAGAGTTTGGAGCCATGAGAGAACAGTACATGAGAACTGGCGAGGGCTTCCTGTTGGTCTTTTCAGTCACAGACAGAGGCAGGTTCGTACCTATATTGCCCTGTAGATCTGTTCTTCAGTCTAGACCCCTGTGTTACTGAATTTGGATTTCCTTGTTTTTATAAAGAAGCAAAAGGGAATAGAGTACTAAATGGAGCATGGGATGCTGCTGCTACTTGGTAAAATTGATTAATTTGTTTTTGTGTTTTTAGTTTTGAAGAAATCTATAAGTTTCAAAGACAGATTCTCAGAGTAAAGGATCGTGATGAGTTTCCAATGATTTTAATTGGTAACAAAGCAGATCTGGATCATCAAAGACAGGTGAGAAGGAATCCTGCATTTGGGAAACCGGTTGTTTATATGTAAGTGAATGGATGTGTTTAATGTAACAGCTGAAAGTGTCATGGTCAAAAAATACTGTGTTGAGTTTGACACACTCATCACAGGCTTTACAGAATCACAGTAGGTGAGAAATAAAAAGGAAAGAGACTTGGGGAAATTAAATTTTTCCATTTTTTTGCACAGAAATTAAGTGGAATGTATAAGCCTGTGGGTGTTTGTACCAGCTCAGTTCACATGTTAAAATTTCTTGGGTAACATCCAAAACTCGAATTTAGTTAGACAGTCTTAAAGTTATTCCTGAAGGCCTAATTGATTCAGTATTGATGCTAAATTACCTTCATTTAGAGAATGGATTTGATTTAAATGAATACTATTTGATTTTTTTAAAGTCCCATTAATGACTGAATTTTCTGTTAATTTTCACACCAGCTAGATCTAACACCAGTAACCAGCAAAGAAAAGAATATTTTTAGTGTTTAGTTGCAGGGTGGTTTATACTCACTTGTTTCTTTACCCTTCTATTTCACATTTAAATAAAAGAAAACTGGTATATATTGTTTACTCATCTCTTTGTGGATGAGGAAACAAGGTCAGATATAAATTAATGCAGGCTGTACATTAATTGGGGGGTTTCTTTTTGCGTCTTTATTTCTCTTAGGTCTTTATTATCCTCTACCCCACATTTGGAATAGAATTATTTAAATGTTTCCTAACTTTTGCTGGTATTTAAGTTCTTTTTTTTGTTTTTGTATAACCTTCTATTAACAGATTCTTAAGGTTTTGTTTAAACATCAGAAAAAATTGCTTGATAAACAGCAGAGTGGATAGCCTTCCATTTCATAGTTAACTATTTAAAACATAACCTTTGATTTGTGTACTCTCTTTGTAAAATTTTTGTTGAAAGTATACCAAGTTTCAATCATGGACTTACAAGAATATTATTGTTCTAATGCTACAATTTAGAAATGTACTGATGATATTTACTGTGGAATAAATTTTACTGATGGGTCTCTTTCAAATCTAAGTTATTATAAAGTCGAGGTAAAAAATTTGGTCTTCATTTCAAACCAGTATAAACTGTTTGAATATAATTTAGAATATGGCATTGTTCATATCTTTTTGTTTTTTAGATTTTATTTATTTTTTTTAGAGAGGGGAAGGAAAAGAGAAGGTGAGGGAGAGAAACATTAATGTGGGGTTGCCTCTCAGGTACCCCCCACCGGGCACCTGGCTGGTAGCCCAGGCACATGCCCTGACTGGGGATTGAACTGGCAACCCTTTGCTTCACAGGCCGGTGCTCAATCCACTGAGCTACACCAGCCAGGGTATATTGCTTACATCTTAAACCTAGGGTTGATAGTCCATCTATTCTTTAAATTTATTTTTTATTTCTTTGGGCCATTTCCTTCAGGGTTTCTAAACCTAATTATAGTTATTGAGTGTTACCCAGTAGAACTGCCTACTGCTTTCTTCAGTCTTCTCTACTTCTAGAAAGACCTTTGTAGATCATTGGGTCTGGGAAAAATGGCTAAGTAGCTCTCTGCAGTGAGCAAGAGGTTGTCTTCCCTCTCTCACTGTAATGTCTTTCTGCCCTGATTGTAGACATAGGTTTCTCACAAAATGTTTCATGATGGCGCCTTCAGGGAAGGACTAGGCCTGGGGTGAGGTCGAGGTCTCTAGGACGGGTGGTGACAGATGAGTGAAAGGAGAGCATATGCCACCAGAGCTAAACATGACTAGTTGGGACAAGGTGTCTGTATGAGTTATTTTTCAGTCATCTGTATGTTGAAGATTGCCAGTATTTGGTGCGTGGTTTACATCTGTCTGCAGGTATTCAACACACTATGGCATTTTGGCCATTTTTTACCATAGACTTACAAGATTTTTTCATCTTAGGCTTTTTTCTTTTTTAAAAAATAAAACAAGGTGGTGAGAAACAATAGAGGGAATAATAATTTCATATTTCCATCACTTTACAGATAATGCAGTTAGCTTAGACTAATATTTTCTGTTTCTCTGCTTGAATTTGTATCTGTTATGGATGTACTGAAAGTTCAGATGTGTATATCCAAGGGAGAAAAGCAAGTAACTGAAACCTGATTGCTTAATTTTCTGTTCGTTCCTCTAGAGTGTATTCTCTGAATGTTAGGTGCAAAGAAAAAATGTTATTTCTTCCTACGCTTCATCTTTTCTTTTCTAGGTTTCTTCACACCTGCACGCAGGCCTGTTAGCTGCTCTCACTTTAAAGTTATGACCGCTGACTTCAGAGCCTGCTGGGAATCTTGCATTTTTCCAGTCCATTCGTTCCCCACTTGTTTGGATGATTATGACATACTTTCTGTCTTAAACTTACAATAATTTCTTCCCCTTCTTTGCTCTCACTTTGTGATGAGTGATATTTTTCTATTTCATTGAGAAATTTCTACACGTTCCCACCTCCACATGAACTAACCTCAGTGCACACGTATCCTGTCATGTCCTCCCTCCGCCACTTACATGGATAAACTCTTCACATCTGTGTGACCATCTCCTCCAATAGCACTGGGTCCTGTTCCTTCTCATCAGCTTGTGGGCATCTCTTGTTCCATCCCAGTTGGTCCTTTTCTCTCCTACGTGGTCATTCCCATCATCATACTCCATGCTACAATGGCTCTCATCTTTAAAACAAAAAGGGATTTTAGCAAAAACTTTTCTTAATCTCACATTCCTCTGAGTGCTTTTTGGCTGCTCCTTCTCAATAGCAAACTCCTTAAAAGCATTATTTACACTTGCGCTCTCTGCCTTCTTTCCTGCCATTCTTGCTTGCGCTGACATCAGGCATGCAGTGCCCCAGTCAAGGTCACCACTTGCGCAGATGTCAGTGACATTTGACACAGTTGCTCACATTCTTCTTTTTGAAACACTGTTTACTTAGCTCTGGAACCCCATTCCCTCCCCTTCCCTCTTCTTTTACAGTAGCCTTTCTTGGCTGCTCCTCGTCTTACCTTTCCAGGTGCCTCAGGGCCCAGGATGTACAAAGACAGTCGTGCATGCCTTACCTTTCAGCCTCAAGGGCCAATGTCAGTATATCTGAAGTTGAAATGTCATACTAAAGGTTTTTCACCTTTTTAAAATCCCTTCAGAACTAAAGGTGATGTTCTGTAATGTTTTGGCACCCTTAATTGCTCCACCAGCTGAGCTCAGACAGGCCACAGGGACTCCAGAAAAACTTTTTTACCTCTGGTTAGAAATGCTTACATTGTGGTCATTTCTTAGGTTCCTAGTCAGTAACTGGTCAGACTTGTTCATAGTTGTTGGTCTAGCTTCCTTCTTTTCTGCCTTTGTCTTAGATGTGATCCTTTGGACTTGCTTTAGCTTCCAGCTTATTTTCTCTTTCATTGCAAATGCCAGTTTCCCATGTTCTCTGAGTTTGTGGGTCAGCCTTGGGCATTCCTTCCACTGGCTCTTGAAGTTGTGAATCCATCAGAGAGGGGAGGTCAGCCAGAAGAGGCTTTGCCTGCTTCCTTTTATCTTCTATCTCTGTACACTTGCTTCTTTCATCCCACCCACCCAATATTTATCGAACACTTTTTCCAGACAGTGACGACAACAGTAGCAAAAAAACAAAGTCACTGAAGTTTACATTAAGTAAAAAAAGATTTGTAGAATTTGAATGGTTATTTAGCATTACTGCATCTCTGGCCTTTCAGAGATACATAGATCATTTTGTTTGTCCTGTCAAAGGTGTAGGAAGAAAACACAGGTTCCCCTTGCTAAAATGTAAAAGTAGGTAACATGGCAGCACACTGATGCTGAAATGTAACACAGCAGTGGGTGGTGTTGGGCCGTGGACTTTATGATATCTCTGGTTTCAAATTCCTGTCCTTCACACATCCCTGTGTAGAATGCACTGTTTTTACCAAGTCTTTTCCTCCCTGGCTTACCTTAGCTTACCCCTCTCCTTTCTCCTTTGTTAGCTAAAAAAAAATTGCTAGTGGCTCACATCAATTCAAGAAAGAAACCTGTGGCACTAGTAATAATAGATGGCTAAGTGTACTAATATTAACCTCCAGTCCTCCTTTCTGTCAGTACCTGGACCATAGTGCACCCCTGCAGCCTCCCAGGAAAAGAACCCATCCCTCTCAAACAATAGAGTAAGGGGTGTCTAGCCTGACCTGTTTGTGCCTTGTCTGTACCTAAAAGGTTTGTAAACCGTTGACTTAAAGAAAATGCTTCTCAGTTTCCACCTGTTGGTTTTGCTCATGTTTATTCTTAGCACATAGAACAAAGATACGCACTCAGTAAATATTTGCTGAACGAATGAATCAAGGCATTGACGAATCAAGATGTGGTATTGTGACAACCCTTTCTACATAATAGATATTTTTGAAAAACAAGTTTTGCTTCTCTAAACTTAGGTTATTCATTAACTGGACACATCCTTGAGTATTACAAATGTTGTGGATTGTTTTAGTTAAACCCGGTTGGTTTTAATAAAATTGCTCTCATCATTCCCATTTTGTTCCTCTGTATTTGGAAATAATACAGTACTAGATAAGTTCATGTTATTGTAGATTTCTGCTAATCATCATTTGTGCCTTTGAATTGTGTCTCATTGGAGATTTCTAAATGTAGATCAGTGAATTTATTGTATTAGATTCACCTCGGTTGTTTAAAACAAAACATTTATAGATAGGGCTCAGATCTACCAAATCAGACTATCCAGGGATAAGGCTGAGTAACTGGCATCTTTTTCAAATTCTCTGAGTTGGGGAACCTGGAGAGGGTTGTTTGTGAGCTTTCAATCTTCTGTTGATTTGTGGCTTCATAGTGCTGTGGCTTTGCTTTGTTCCATGTGGGGTTTTTTGTTCATCTTTGTTTGCCTTGCTGGTAGCTGTGCTGTTTGTTCTACTTGGTTAAAACAAGGCTACACCAGTGAGCTCAACAGCACCTTTATATGTGGCTAGAGCGTTCTCGGCCAGAAATGTGGTCATGTGAAC